ATGTTTGTTCGAAGAAGCACATATTGTGCAGATCCTTTATCTTGAAATCAATGAATTCCGTAATATATAAGTCCCTATTTATTGTGGTGTTAATTTGACTTTTGATAAATACATTGGTAATATTAGTATATTAATTTGAAGATTTGAAGCTATTTGTATTAAAAAAACTAATTGCAGTCCGACTGACAAACTAAACTGAACTTGGTATTATGGATCATTGATATCAGATATTCAAAATCAATGACACGAATGGTTGCAGACTTTAACAAAAGGTTTATATATATAAAGTTCCAAATCTTATGGTTGATTGGTATCCGTGTAAAAAAGAAAACGCTTGCCATTTTACAAACTGTAAAAGGTTTTATTGATTTTTTTTTTTAAATATGTAATCTTTAAAAAAATATCTTTTTGCTCTTTTAGGACACGAAGGGGGGACTTTTAAGATTGGCCAAATTTTTGGTTTGAAAGAAAACGAAAAACTACTTACAGATATAGTTGATAAATGTTCCTTCAGCCAGCTTAAAGACTGACAAAGTGGTCAGAGAGGATAATCTGATGGTTGATATGATGAGAGAATTGTCATTGAATGAGAATCCAGTAGTGTATAGAAAAGGTAAGGCTCCTCAAATCAATATAATATAATTAGAAAATTAAGGAAACACATACCTGTTAAAAACAACGCCGAAATCATTTAAGATTTATAAAAGGTGTTTAAGTAGAATACACAATAAAATAAGAAGACATTTGGGATGTTTGGTTTTTTATAGAATTCAATCAGGAGATATTGGAGTGGAATATTTAGTTTGTTCATTTGTCTAAAATCAGTTACATGTACAGAATGTCGACTTTCACGTAAACTAGGAGATTGGAAAAACTTTTTCACTGTGAAATTGAACGAAGAATTTGACAAGGCGTACAAAGAAAGAATGAAAGGAGTTAATTTTAACCCAGAATATGAGTAATGGACATTTGCCATCAGATAAACTTTGGAAAAAGAATCAGAAAAATATTCAGTTTATAATGTATGGATTTATCAATGAAGTTAATGACAATGAAGTGTAAATTATATCTTCCTCTCCTTAAAAAATCTTTGATTTCTTTTTGCAGGTTTAATTAATAAATGTTATATTATGCATATTTATTTGAGGTGGTACTGATCAGTCTTTCTGTCGATGAAAAAGGGATATACCATATCTCTATAAACAATAAAATCTTTAGACAGCTTGATTTTTTAAAAAAATTATTTCAAAATCTTCATATTTCAAAAATGTTTATACCCCCTTTTTCCCACTGAATCATAATTGATTGATTGATTGACTATTGTTTCATGTCCCGTTCGAAAAAATTTCACTCATATAAAGACATCACTATATTCCAGCGAAGGGCTTCAAAAGACCGTTACTCGGCACTCAGGGCAATGAGCAGTGAGGGTTCTTTATCGTGCCAACGCCTATCATGCCAAAGGTCTCATCCGAAAGACCCGCAACTTTCACTTTAAAGTGCTGAGTGCTTGACGAAGGAACAGTTGTTACATAGTTTTCCTCGACTTAGGTCAGTCGCGGACGTGATTTGAACACACGACCTTCCCATCACGGAGCGAGCGCTCTACCAACTAAGCTACTGTGACGTTTGAATCGTAATTGAAATTAAACGACTATTTTCTACACAATAGTGAGATTGAAAGAATGAAATAACTTTATGTGCTTGAAATCAAAGTAACTTGACTTGCTTTCCGATAAATTATCCAAGTACATATTAATCATATGCGTTGTAGAAGGTAGTAATACTTTTTGAGCTGCATGCGTATGTTTGTGTTTTGACTTACTGTAGTCTGCAGAGTGTTTATAAACATAGCCAAGAGAGTAACTTTGAAATTAGGATTTTCAGTTTAAACGAAATCAATTGGCAATTGTAAATGTAAGATGTGTTTTTCACTGAAAACTTAGAAACTATGATTTTTTTACTGACGTTTAGTAACAAGAGAAAATTACGTTTATCGGGATCTGAAATGCAATAAGAACTTGTAGTTGTGAAGAAAACGGATAATAAGCACGGTTTTATTATTGAATAAAAACAGATTATTTCTTTTGGAATATATTTTATATAAGAAGGTCTGAGTGACATATGATAAAGACAAAAAAAACTGTTTTTAACGAAATTTATAACGCTAACTTATTTCCTTGCTGAACAAACCCCCTACTGAATGTACAGATTAATGAGATCCAAACGGCAATTAATACAAAGTAAATTCGTGAAAATTTACTGAGAACAAATAGAAAAATACATTGTTAGCATTAAATGAGTATTGTCTCAAAAAGCGGTTGAGAGTAAGAACTATGTGTTATACAATTAAATTCAATTTGGCGGCTGTTTGGTCAGCTTCCTGTTTGAACAGGCTGGCAGTAGCCGATGTAAAGACGAATAATGACCCTCGTAGAAGAATGACCTGGAGTTCATCGAAAAATGACCCTCTAGTTGTAGAAAAATGTATTTTCTTTGTAGAGAAAAAACCACAGAGGTCAGTGTTCTACATGTGCAACCTATAAGAAATTGACCCCAGTTGAAAAATGACCCCCATCCCAACAGTGTGATACAAAGTTCAAAAGAGATGATTGATGCCAAGGTTTGGGTCTCAACGGGTAATTCTCTTGCGTTTTTCTGATTAACACTTGGCGAACACGCATTTAAAATTTCTTTAATAAGAGTACATTGTATGTGTTTCTTTTTATTAAACCTATTGTGTTCCGAGCTCAAAATTAAAATTGCACATTATGTAAAGTTAGCTACTAGTAACTGGCTACAAGTGGGTAAAGTTATCTACTAGTAACTGGCTACTAGTAACTGACTTAAAATCAATCTGATTAAAATCAGATCCTTTGATCCGCTCACATAGATCGCTACACAAGGATATCCATTTAGGGTCATCTCCTGGTGACATTTCTGATAAAAATATTCATTAAAATTTTGACCAGTCAGAGAGATCGTACTTAAGCGACATTCGGGAAAATGAATGTGGAAGTGAAAGTAGCTGTGGAGAAGACCTAGTCGTTTCGTACAAAACAAAGAGCCAAAAAAAAAAAAAAAAAAAAAAAAAAACAAACAAACAAACAAACAAACAAAAAACAAAAAAACCATGGCAAAGACAAATACTAGATATATTTCTGTACAGAAAAGACTGGTCGTTCTTTTGACAGGTTATGGCAATTAGGTCACAATTTTCCATTCGTGTATCATCGGGGCTTTCACCTCTGAGACTGAATTCCAAGATACTTCTAAATTCTTGCAACCAAACGTTTGATTGGATAATTGAAAGGTCACCAGGAGATTACTCTGAATGGGGTTTCTGCAGATCCTTGTGTAGCGATCTATGTGAGCGGATCAAAGGATCTGATTTTAATCAGATTGACTTAAAATATGAATAAAGCTTGCTACTAGTAACTGGCTACAACATGTGCGTAAAGCTAGTACTAGTTACTAGAAACTAACTTTAAATGTGAGTAAAGGCTACATTACATAATACATTTATTATTTTAAAGAAAAAAATAATGTATTAATGTATTTTTTTTTAAAATTTTGAATAACAATCTCGTATTTTTGTTTCGCTAGTCAAAATATCTTATATTAAAATATACTACTTGCAGATCAATACTATCATTTCGTATGCATTTTGAATTAGTCATATGATTATGTGTTAAGAAAGTGCCATGGAAGAAACTTTTTTGTAAAAAAGCACAATATGTACTCCGAAGTTTGATAGTCGCACCAAAGACCGATGGTCTGCGCAATAGTCCGTTTTGGGTTTATTCAAGCACTGTCATCAAATTCTGATTGGCCGCCTCCTAAAGACACATCACGCCAAAATCTGATGGTGACAAAATGATTAATGTCTGTGATGTCACATTACGGCGACGTTGCTCGTGATTTAAATAAAAATACAAGCAGAAGGCTCTCCGAATGGAAGTTATGTTTTCGAAATATATAAATGAAACGGCACACTAACGTTTTCTCTAAGATATAATGTCACGGAATCAAAAAAGGTAAGAAACTTTTTTTTAGTCAGTAACCTGGATAAAAATTTACTTTATTGATTTTAGCCTTCATCGGTATATGGTGACGTCTCTATATGAGTGAAAAATTCCCGAATGGGACGTAAGACAACATACAATCAATCAATCAGACATCTCTGAAAAAAACCCATAATGATTCTTGATTATCTGAATTAATTTTATTCCAACACCCGGGAAATATAACATTTACTGGTGCCTTTCACTTCTAAAATATGCTCTCTTTTTTTTAAGTTTGTGTTCTTTTACTGAATTCTGTTTAACTTTACAGAAGGTTGCAAGTTATCGAATGATTAGAGTACATAGTGAAGTTTTCGGCGTTAATTTGAATAAAACAAATTGGAAAAAATTAAAGCGTGGACACCGACGTCCTCCATGGCACCTGATCCCACCTCTTATTTTTTTGGAGGTCCGTGTTTGCTCTGCTCCCGATTTGTATTGTTTTAATGGACTTTGAGCTTGAATACTGTTCGTTATGTCCATAATTCATCTGATAGCTTCAGGCAACTTGGGTTGAAATGTACGATATCTGAAGCTTAGCTCTATTTGGGATGAATTTTTACAATATCGGGAGCTTATCTAAAAATGCAATGATTCCTAAAATCAAAGTGATTAAAATTGTGAAATATTTCTTTATTTATCATATATTTTAAACTGTACAAAATGTAAAAAAAAAAAAAAAAAAAAAAAAAATGAAAAAAGATACATCGAAATTCATTCTCACATGAATATTGTTAGGAACATCGACTTACATCATCATATAATATTGACTTTGACACTGATTTCGGTATCATTTTTTGATACATAAGTTCAAATGTGTCTATAGCAGTGCTTCATGTAGTAAAATCAATTCAATACAACGATTTATAATAAGAAAAATATCATCTGCCTTGAATACACAGACAATCAAACATTGGTAGCAGTATTAGTGTTATTATATAAATATTATGATGTAGATTGTTTAATTCTTATTTCTATCCTTTACAATGATTTTATACTCAGGTGGAAGCTCTGTGCCAAATCCATACTGCTTGTATTCAAGATTTGGTTTCACTCCATTTGGAAGACGAATTTCAAAACGCTGCAGCAGGTTTACACACATCATTAGTATTTCAGGTTTAGCTAACGATTCTCCCAAACAAACTCGGCGGCCCGCTGAGAACGGCAGCCAACTATCTGGTCTAGAAGGTTTCATTTTTCCGTTTTCATCAAGATAACGATATGGATCAAAGTTTTCTGGGTCTTTAAAGAATTTAGGATCATGATGAAGAGCCCAGTGGTTTATAATTACTGTGGTGCCTTTTGGAATGTCATATCCACCTGTAAAATAAATAAATGCTTAAATAAATGTAAAATAAATAAATGCTAATGTAAGTTTAAATATTATTACTATTTGCAGTCAGAAGACAGCACTTCGAAACTCGATAATAAGAAAGTCATTTGAAATTCGAATATGAGGATTCCATTTACTATACTAGTAAATGATTACCTACCAACTTGTGTATCACATATAGTCATGTGAGGGATACCAAGCCCCACAACGCTTCCTAGTCTCATTGTTTCAAACAAGCAAGCCTCTGTGTAGTCTAAGTTGCTAAGGTCCTTTATTGATGGATGCCCTGAGCCTTAAATGTCATCAGAAAAGAGGGACGATTAGTATAAGGCCCCAGAATGTCAAGATGAGAAGAGTTAAGAACTTAAATAGAACACAAGATTATTTTAACCAAAAGAAGCGTGAATTGTTCGCCCTTGACATTACAAAGATGATCTAAATTATTAAATATATATTTATTGAATAATTACAGTAAAGTAAAACAATAATTACAGTAAAGTAAAACAATTTTTACGATTTTCAAAACTTTTAGTTTACAGTATCAATCAATAAATATCTATAACATTTTTTGAATTTTTACCGACAACCCTTTCAATTTCCTCCTGGCATTTGGTCTGGATTTCCGGAAATCTGCTCATGAAATACACGAACCAGTCCATTGTGAATCTTGAAGTATCCAGTCCAGCTGTAGAAAATGGCAGTAATAATTTAAAGACATTTAAAAAAGAACAAAATAAAAATTCATGCGTTTGAATGTGTATATAAACTTCTGGATTTATGAATCATGAAGATTACTTAGAATTTGATTAAAAGAAACTCAAGGATTTAAGGAAAAATTAATTTTTTATTGCATTTTTCAGCAGATTTGCTTAAGCCTTTTTGTGGCAAAAAAATCTACCCCTGCGTCGCCGTACTGAAAACTGTTCTATATTGTATCTACATTTTAATTAAACACTGTTTTAATCATGATCCCCTGCAAAATTTTAATTTCAAATTCCAGAATTTTTATAATGTGATGATCATATAACATGCTAATTATTTTAATATTATTGGTAAAAGTTAATTGAATTTTTTAAACTTAGGCTTGTCCTGTCAGTTAGAAATAAACGTTGAATAATGAGAGATAATAAACGTATCCTTCTTTTCCAGTCTGCTAGTATCTCGGTAAGTTAAGTTCGAAACAAACTTGTATCAAGATTATATGATTGTGTACACAAAAACTTTTTCACTCTTCAGATTAAATATACTGTAATTTCATATGACATGTGCATTTTATATATATATATATATATATATATATATATATATATATATATATATATATATATATATATATATATATATATATATATATATATATACATTTCCCACATCATTGCTGGAACAGTTAGTAAAAAATTTAGGGGGAATCAACATCTTGATTTTTTTTTATTACTGATGAGTGATACTTGACTGTGAATCTTTATCTTTATCCGCACAAACTTTAAGCTCCACCATAACTAGGGCTAGGTGTTTCATACCTTATGACTTTGACCTTGGAGTTTGACCTACTTTTGAAAAACTTTAACCTTGGCCATAACTTTTGAATGGTTGATCTAGGGCTTTCATATTTCAGATGAGTACATGTTTCTTTTATGACAAGACCTTTCTATGAGTATCAACAATTTTGACTTTATGACCTTGACCTTGATATTTGATTTATACGTTTTTTTTTTTAAAAAGTAGCCTTGGCCATAACTTTTGAATGGATGATGCTAAGGATTCCATATTTTACATGTGTATTTCTTGTGACAAGACTTTTCTTTGGGTACCAAAGAAAAGTGTCTTAACCTTAAGTCTAAAGTTTAACCTTAGCCATGAGTTGCCATACGGATATATCATTGTTTCACAAAAAACAACTTTTTTTATTGTTTACTAGCGCATTATTTATATATTATACAAATTTTAAACCCAAGCTTGCATATTCTGGCATAGATCAAGTTAACAATCTGTTATTGAAATAACATTGATATTATGTCAAATAAATATCATGGCTTTAACAAATATTGCGTAGATTAAAAGACGCAAGAATACATCTACCCAAAATTATATCTGATATGGTCTGAATTAAACGTGTATCGTCAAACTTCTCCAGTGCGGATACATCCCCTTCGTTCTCGGCCTCCTGTCTGGCCATCAACAAACTGTCGATAAAGTCTCTGTTTACACCTTTGAAAGATACATAAAGTTTATATAATATATTTAGCCTTAAAGACAAATTCCTAAATCATACTTTGAAAATGTTTCTCTCTCTCCATCTCTCTGCCTAAAATGAGCATTTTTAAAGAATAATTGCAAAGATATATATTTCAGATCGTTTTCAAAAGTCAACAACCTGGTTGAAAAGTATTGACATGCTCTTTGTATTTAGCCCGAAGCACTTTTGACAGCTGATCTATCAATCTGAGAAATTTCTTCCATTTCGCAGTTGGGTAGATGTCCTTCAGATGTGGGACTAAGTCCTCCAGGAATCCAGTTGCCAGTTCAGCGATCAACTCTTCATCTAATTTAAGCAGTGCCTTTACTTCCGGATCTTCAATAGGCCGTCTGTCATGTGATTTGATAATAATAATAATAAATAATAATAATAATAATAAATAACAAAAATGAGCACATCAAATCATAACAAAATTGATGTTATTTTTATCTGTATAAAGGTTTTTTTTTAATACAAAACTATTCTTTTCCGTTTATCTATATAATATATATTCATTACTGGAAAAAAAGTAGCAGAAATAAACAGAAAATGGGAATTGAGAGACTGAAAAAAATTGTTTTTAATGTCTCATTTGAAAACAATAATATCTCAAATAAGGATATTAAGAATATAAATGATTATTGGTTTTAGCAGAACAACAAAATATCTGCGTGTCACATATTAATTTGACATATCGTAAAATTAATACACTAACTTTTCTCCGAAAGAAATAGTATACAGTTGGTGAAAAACCATCAGATCCACGTAACTTTTGAAAGCAAATGGTTCCTCCTCCAGTGCCATCTTGTCCAAGAATCTATTCACGTTGTTCTGTACCGTGTTTTCAAGAAGATCCCCTCGTAAATAAAGCCTAACATAAAAATATGACATGGTAGGAAATATAGTAAAAATGATCTGATTTATGTTTTGAAACAAATATTACTTTTTCAAGTGCTGGGAAATTTTATCATACAATCATTGAAATTTAGGAACATTTTAGCAACGAAAAATTATCCATAAATACATATTCAATAATATTTTTCACTTTGCTTTTTTCAGATTTTTTTAAAGAAACAAATGAGCATAGCTGTAAGCTACTCTCATGAAATCACACTTCTGGTTTTATAAATTTTCATTGGGATAGGTGAATAAATTGTCAAAGTTACACCTTGCAGACTTCATGTGTGGGTCTTGATTTTTTGAATATTATAAATAGGAACATGAATATATTGTCTTCTGTGAAATACAGGTCACACATAGAATTTATAAAGACCATTTAAAATATCATTATTTTTTTCTAAAAAAACAAAAAAAATAAGCAGCGCTTCATACCTCATACTATTTCTCATATGAATTGAATGCTACAGTTTCTTGTGGAAATCAATGTTGGGAAGCTTTAAAAAAAATGTGAAAATTAGAGCAGAGGGTCATTACTCTTTAAGTATAGCTGTTATCTTTTCATGGATTTCTCGCGTAATTACGAGCTCAGATGGAGAATCCAAAGTAATCCTTCTGTGTAGCATCTAAACAAGAGTGTTTGATAACTCAAGGAACCTAAAAGGTAGGTTTCATTTACATGTAGTCGCCTGCGTGGTGCAGTGGTTAGAGCGTCTGCTATAGGGACGCGGAGTAAGGAGTTGATCCTTACGTCGCGAGTTCGAATCTCGCTGTGGGACGTAGAGACCGGTCCTTCGGATGAGACCGTATAAACCGAGGTTCCAACAACAACAAACCAAAAAAAAAAAAAAAAATGTACATGTAAAGAGCTGAACTGTGATCAATTTTCTTTTACAACGTAGAGAAATATTCGTTTTTAATAAATGCAGCATTCAAACCCTTAATACACATCTGCAACCTTAAGAAATATACTAGTATTCAATTATGTTTTTGTAATAGCTTTTTTTCAAATTAAGCAGAATGTACACCCCTTTTCCCAAAATTTATTTAACATATAAATTATATCAGGTTCAATCAAATGCATCAAAATTGCTTTGCTGCCATAAAAAAAAAAAAAAAAAAATAAAAATCAGTGATCAGAAAGTGTTACAGTTTTGCGTTGGTTATTTATAGAAAATGCTTCTTTCTTGCTGTAGTCAACTTTTCTCAAACAAGACGCACCTGAGAGCTTTGCCTGCTATTTTTCTGTGCAATTTCCAAGTTGGTGAATAGGTACTAAATACGAGGTCTTTTCCCCCGCTACTAAATGCATCATCTGAAAAAATCATTGCAGCAAAGACTTGTAAATGCAAATGTACCAAATGAATAAAAGTTAATTGAATTGTGTGCAGTAAACCTCCATGTTATTCGCGAGAACTTTATTTTCGTGTAATAACGCGGGACTGCCTGCTCGCGAAAATTTCCTTTCATGTATTATTAAGGATTATATAGAGCAATGACCGAAATTTGTCTCTCTTATAAATACTGTACCAAATAAGAATCTCACGAAAATTGAGTGATCTACAGTAGTGTTTATTATAACGTCGTTTCCTCTTCAGATCAAATATGAATATATTTATTGCAGGTTAATTAATCTGACATGTTTTCATTAAATACCTGGTTTTCTATCAGTAGTTTGTTAAAGGAATCTGTATGACCATGACTAGCTCTGCCATTCGCGCTCAAGACTTTCTGCACACTTTAAGGCCGGTACACACAGTGAAATTTGTATTAGTAAGTAATTTTCTGTACACACGCTAATACCAATGTTATAAGATTGTAAATAAACGTAGATAAATTCACTGGCTGTTTTCCCTCACTATTTTTCTCAAAACAATTTCAATAGGGTTTGTACCACTCTCACTCTATGTTAAAATTCCTTTATTTTATTCTTTAGTTCTCGACCATAATAGCACAAACATTTTGTATTTTTGCATTTATCTGAGTCGCTTAAATAAGAGGAAGAAGTTTATGGCAAATAATATGATATTCTTTGTAATTATGGGAATCTGTTTTCTTTAAACTGTTTAAAAAGAATTTTTTTGGGTGAAAGCAACATGTAATATAGATAAAAATAGGATGTTAAATACATGAACCTTCTTTACACACAGAACCATCTGACTGGTTGGAATAAAATGTCAGCTAAGATTTTTATTTAAAAATAGAACATTGCTCTATTCTAAATGCAATTTTATAAGATTCGAAAAATCTTGCGATACACTGTTTTAAGAGTGTACACACGATCAGATTTTGTAGTATAATACTAGTATACACAATACTGGTACAAATCGTACCGTATGTACCTGCCTTTATACCCACCCTCTGCATGCACATCGTTATTATATTTTCAATATTTCATGCTATAAATATAAATTGCAATTAGGGCTGGGTATCGGTTGGAAATTTTGCATTGCGATATATTGCGCTATTTAGAACTGTATTGCAATAAGTATTGCAGTATTTTTAATAACAGTTAAAATGCTTTTTTCTTATTAAATTAACCTCCATTAATAAGCAGAGTGTTTAAAACTTTTATAAATACGTTGTAACAAAAAAGTTCTAGTTGATTTCACTACAACGAAATGCAACCATACAACAGAAACCTTTACCGTTTGGTACTGTTTGGAACGATTAAAAACGTTCCTGACAACTTAGATTTCATATTTTACTTCATAAATCTATAGCCCAATCATTTTGCCGGTATATTGATACTGGAAAACGTATCGCTATATGATATTTTTTGTTAAAGAATCGCAATATACCGGAATATCGGGCACAGCCCTAATTGCAATGTATGATTATCGTCGTAGATGTGATATTAAATGGCAGATTTTGAATCTTTTTCTTCAAGGCAGCGAGGGAGATATTTGCATGATCTTTGTACACTAGTGTATTTTGTATGAATAAATACGCAGGTGTTATGATTCTGAATAAAGATAATTAAAATTTAATGTGCGTTTGACTTGGTCGAATTGCAACATAAGATAAAATATTGATAAATTATTTCCTTCTTACCTGATGAAAATTCAGGTCTTCCAGCAAAATCTGCCTTCTTTTTCACCAATGCCTCTATAACAACGTCGTTTTCATTTAGAAGAACCCAAGTGCTGGATCCTATTTGGTTGTAAAAGATTTGCGGTTTAAAAAAAAGATTTTTCAGAAAATGTTAAATTTGAGTGCCTTACAATGAAACACTTTTCAGGCTCTGATAATATTTCTTCTATTCAAGCTTCATATATTTTACTAATCGTTATGTTACTTCTCGCAGAAATTAAAGCATATGAATGAGGACGAAGAAAATGGGTTGTGCAGTAAGTAACAACATTTGAATATGGTCAAGATTTCATTACATTTCAAGAATTAAATTTCTCACTGTAATGCTGAAATGATGTGCTGTTCAAGTGCCTTTGACCAGAACACTCCCCTTATTATGCTTTCACGGCCATACATCTATGCTAAGTACTGGGATGTTTATAAGCTTAAAGGTGTTGACATATAACAAAGTCTATGGCCTCCTTTTACCTTTACCGTGTACATCCTAAAACTAATTAACTTTTTTTTTTGATCAGCCAGTATCTGTCTCTGTAGCAATGATGTAATTGAAAGCATAAATATATTTGCTGTGCACAAAACATTGTCAATAACATGTACTTCCTTTTTTCACAGGATCTCTGATTGAAGAATTTAATTAGACTAAAAAGACAAAAACTTGTTTATATTTACACATTATTGATCGTGACCTATGAATTTTTAACATTAGTTCAATATTATCAAAAAGAAGTTCACTGGTCAAACGTGTCGACAACATTGATACGTTCGAACCTGCTTAAGCATAGATTCAGGGGCGCATATGCAGTCATCGTTGCAAGAGAATAACTCACCATATGATAGACGTAAGACTGGGCCATATGTCTTGGATAGCTCAGCTACTTTCTTGTGCATTTCAACAGATGAATAGACTGAAAAGGTTCAAATGAATTAATTTTCAGAATAATGTTCGTATACTGAATATATTATAAGATTGAGTTCTTCTTCTTGCAACCTTGTATAATTAAATTTTAAGTGCGTTTTGTTTTAATCCCACTTTTTGTCTTAATTCTGTACAACTATGACATTGAATATTGTTTTCTTGATTAACTGAATTCTCTTCATTCTTTTCAGATATAACACTGATCATTCGTTACCATGAAACTTGATTTTAAAAAAAATAATATTGTGCTAAAAATGTCCGTTTCGATGGTTTTTCCTTGTAAAACATATTCGTAATTTTCATATATCCGAAAAGCAGGTAATGATGCTTAGAGAACAGAAGTCTTTCAAAATTTTACAAACTCTTATGAACTCACCTAAAGCATATTTGTAAATGTATGTATTTACAATTTACACCGAATCAAAGAAATTATTCAATGATATTGTGAAAAACTGAAAGGTAAAAAAAGTTACTCTGATAATGTCCAACAAGTGGAATGCACCAGGGACCTGGTGGCAGGCGAAACCGCATTCGCTTAATAACGTAGTATACCATGAGACATATGCTTAGACTCGCTAGTATGGTCTGGGTGTTGAGAGACAAGGTAATCATGGTGTATCAACCTTCTTCTCTTTTTATTCACTTTCACTTCTTTATCTGTAATAAAGGAAACAATGACTTTTATAAACAAGATGTGTTTGTGAAACACTGATGCCCCCGTATGGCAGCTTATGGCGAAGGTTAAAGTTTCTCAAATGCCAGTCAAAATCCAGGCCAAAAGATTAAAAAATGTTGGTACCCAAAGAAAGGTCCTGTCTCGAGGAATATACATGTGAAATATGAAAGACTTAGCTGCAACTTTTCAAAAGTTATGGCAAAGGTTAAAGTTTTTTTAAAAGTAAGTGAAACGTCAAGGTCAGAATCAAAGTTGTTGGTATCCAAAGGAAGGTCATGTCACAAGGATTACATATGTGAAGTATGAAAGCCCTAGCACCAACCCTTCAAAAGTTATGACCAAGGTTAAAGTTTTTCGAAAGTAGGTCAAACTCCTATGTCAAGGTCAAAGGGTCAAAGTGGTTGGTATACAAGGAAAGGACTTGTCACAAGGATTACATATGTGAAAAAATGAAAGCCCTAGCACCAACCATTCAAAAGTTATGGCCAAGGTTAAAGTTTTTCAAAAGTAGGTCAAACTCCTATGTCAAGGTTAAAAGGTCAAAGTGGTTGGTATACAAGGAAAGGACTTGTCACAAGGATTACATATATGAAAAAATGAAAGCCCCAGCACCAACAATTCAAAAGTTATGGCCAAGGTTAAAGTTTTCAAAGGTAGGTCAAACTGCTAGGTCAAGGTCAAAGGGTCAAAAAGGTTGATATCAGAGGAAGGTCTTGTCACAATAAATACACATGTGAAGTTTGAAACCCCAAGCACCAACTGTTCAGAAGTTATGGACATGGTTAAAGTCTCATAAAATTTTGCAAAAGTGGGTCAAACTCCAAGGTCAAGGTCAAAAGGTCAAATATGATGGTACCCAAAGAAAGGTCTTGTCAGAAGAAATACACATGTGAAATATGAAAGTCATAGCTCCAACCAATCAAAAGTTATGGGCAAGGTTAAAGCTGACAACAGACAAACGGACAAACAGACAGACAGGACAAAAACAATATACCCCCGGGATCTTTCGATCCGGGGGCATAAAAAAAATTAATCAACACATCAAGCTATGTTACATATTGCATGATTTCCAGATGTATAGAACAAAACTAGTTTATGGCAATCCTTCCTCAATAAATATGAAGTCCATAGTCATTATAAGGCTTAAGTTTTTTGAACAGATACTGATATTTTCCCCTTGAGAACTTTTTTTTTGCATGTGCGTTAACATAATTTAATTTTTAGTAGCACCAACTGCTTCAAAATATTTAATCGCAATTTTCTTTTTATACAAAATATGATATGGAGTTGATTGACAAGCGGCTAGGTAGATGTAATGAAAAGGGTGAAGATAACGATCTCTACAAAAAAATCTACGAACAATACAAATCTGTGAACAGGGCATAAAAACACGGAACCCCCCCCCCCCCCCTGAAATTTCAGAGGTGGGATCAGGTAAGACTATATAAGCTATTGTTCAGCCCTTCCATCAAGCAGGTGAAGTGACAAATGTTTCTGGCCAGAAGTCTTTCCTGTAGGAATCATTTACTACCTGGCACTAGAATTATTTAGGCGGGGGACAACCGCTTCACAATCGATATTTATCATGATTAATACCGGTATATAGATAGGAAATATTCATCTTTAAAATATTCACACATCTGTTCTTTCGGTTTAAGTCGGATTGCTTCATGATTAATACCGGTATATAGATAAGAAATATTCATCTTCAAAATAGTCACACATCTGTTCTTTCGGTTTAAGTCGGATTGCTTCATGATTAATACCGGTATATAGATAGGAAATATTCATCTTTAAAATATTCACACATCTGTTCTTTCGGTTTAAGTCGGATTGCTTCATGATTAATACCGGTATATAGATAGGAAATATTCATCTTTAAAATATATTCACACATCTGTTCTTTCGGTTTAAGTCGGATTGCTTCATGATTAATACCGGTATATAGATAGGAAATATTCATCTTTAAAATATATTCACACATCTGTTCTTTCGGTTTAAGTCGGATTGCTTCATGGTTAATACCGGTGTGTAGATAGGAAATATTCATCTTTAAAATATTCACACATCTGTTCTTTCGGTTTAAGTCGGATTGCTTCATGATTAATACCGGTATATAGATAGGAAATTTCATCTTTAAAATAGTCACACATCTGTTCTTTCGGTTTAAGTCGGATTGCTTCATGATTAATACCGGTATATAGATAGGAAATATTCATCTTTACAATAGTCACACATCTGTTCTTTCGGTTTAAGTCGGATTGCTTCATGATTAATACCGGTATATAGATAGGAAATATTCATCTTTAAAATAGTCACACATCTGTTCTTTCGGTTTAAGTCGGATTGCTTCATGATTAATACCGGTATATAGATTGGAAATATTCATCTTTAAAATAGTCACACATCTGTTCTTTCGGTTTAAGTCGGATTGCTTCATGATTAATACCGGTATATAGATAGGAAATATTCATCTTTAAAATAGTCACACATCTGTTCTTTCGGTTTAAGTCGGATTGCTTCATGATTAATACCGGTATATAGATTGGAAATATTCATCTTTAAAATAGTCACACATCTGTTCTTTCGGTTTAAGTCGGATTGCTTCATGATTAATACCGGTATATAGATAGGAAATATTCATCTTTAAAATAGTCACACATCTGTTCTTTCGGTTTAAGTCGGATTGCTTCATGATTAATACCGGTATATAGATTGGAAATATTCATCTTTAAAATAGTCACACATCTGTTCTTTCGGTTTAAGTCGGATTGCTTCATGATTAATACCGGTATATAGATAGGAAATATTCATCTTTAAAATAGTCACACATCTGTTCTTTCGGTTTAAGTCGGATTGCTTCATGATTAATACCGGTATATAGATTGGAAATATTCATCTTTAAAATAGTCACACATCTGTTCTTTCGGTTTAAGTCGGATTGCTTCATGATTAATACCGGTATATAGATAGGAAATATTCATCTTTAAAATAGTCACACATCTGTTCTTTCGGTTTAAGTCGGATTGCTTCATGATTAATACCGGTATATAGATAGGAAATATTCATCTTTAAAATAGTCACACATCTGTTCTTTCGGTTTAAGTCTATTGCTTCATGATTAATACCGGTATATAGATAGGAAATATTCATCTTTAAAATAGTCACACATCTGTTCTTTCGGTTTAAGTCGGATTGCTTCATCTTTAAGCATGATTACTGTTTGTTATCTATAAATGTTATGTCAATACACGAACTGTGCACTGGCTTACAGAATACCTAAAAAAAAAAAAAGGGTGTGAGATTGTTTAACAACAAGCATGTAAAATAACTGAAAATTTTCTGACTTACATTTCCTTGGGCCAACATGAAAATTTTTTTTTAGGAAAATCCATTAGCTATCTTTAATGGCAAGGAGTAGAAAACATAGGTAATCAAAGATAACGAAGCTCACCTTGACGAATTTCATCTATAAGTAAGGCAAATCTCACGCCATCTTTTTCTAGTTAGAGTGCATACATCCCAAGATCAATATCATTGCATGTTTGGTTTCGGTAGGAATTACAGTTACTTGGGAATGGGCCTGCTCCAAAAACCAAAACCTAAACTGTTCCTAGATGCATCATCCCCATAAGGTAGGGCATATACTGTAAACCAACTATTATTTTCGAAATCTTTTATTCGCGATTCTTCAGTTTGGAATCTATCCGCGACTACTAATTTTCGCGATCGAGGCAACATTGTACAAAACACAAAGATGAATAATCGATTCGCGACGAGAAATATTCGCGAGTAAAAGAAGGTCGCGAAACTCGCCGATATTTCTCGCTCGCGAAAAAAAGTTGGTTTACAGTAGTTGCTTGGGAATTGCCCTGCAAACGACTTTGACAATCTTCCGGAAAATGTAGATCAGATCCAGCATCCGGAGCAAGCCTGGTGGTGTACATCCCTACATGCATCATCCACGGAAGTCTGGTAGTTTCCATTCCTAGATGCATCATCCATGCATGTTTACTCATAACAGGCCTTAAAAACTAACAGGCTTTAAAAACTTTAACCTGTTCAGTCATACAGAAAATGTAGGTCAGATTCTGCATCCGAAGCAAGTCTGGTAGGTCCATCCATGCACGTTTGGTCAAGGTAGGGCTGATAGTTACTAGGAAATGGATTTATTCCCTAAACGATAGAAAAGTTGATGTCATCACTTTTATCATAAAATTTTGTTGTTAGGTTACGAGTAACGTCTTTTCTAGTATATATCCAAATATGAAACAGATTGTTTTAGCTTTCTGTGGTGTCAGCGCTCTGGTAGGTATTATCACATCACATCATACATTACGTGTAATTCTCTTTAATTTTTCCAGATATTGATGCACTTTCATTTACCTGATGTTTTCAGGTTAAAGCAAACAACATTTATATGTATTTACTACAGTGTATCTGCTTTGCAATAGTTAATTCATCTTGCTTATATCTTTAGTCCTAACATTTACACATTAATTGTAAGTGTCAGAAACGTTGCATTGCCAAAACTGAATATATATTATGTTTACTCCTAAAGACTTCTTGTACATATGCAGTATTTGGTTTAAATATGATATGTTGTATTAGTGTAATCTGTGTTCCATGCAATATATGCAGTGTGATATGTTTCGGACATGTAGATTTATTATTTTCTTATATTTACTTCGTAGTACCCAGTCATAAAAATTGTTCTGGAGTGTACAAATATATACTATTGAGCAATTATCCAGGCATTACGAATGTATGTGTTTCTTCCACGTCACAATTTTATTTCCGAGGAAAATGTTAACATCATGTTATTGTGAATGTAAAGTGTCATCTTTTAAATATATTACATACAATCATTTTTGGGACAGAAAAGTAAAATAACTGAAATTTTTCTTACTTACAATTCCTTGGGCCAACATGCAAAAAAATTCTAGGAAATCCAT